GACAGCCAGATAAAAAAAAAAAAAAAATAATTACAAATTTTGTCTTGCAATGTAACTTTTTCAAAATTTCTAATGTCTACAACTACTTAATTTTGACAAAAATGGGAACACTAAATCAAGAACAATGAAGAATTCATAAGTAACTATTGGTAATAATTGATATATAAAGTAATAATTAAATATTGATCTTGCATGGAAAAAAAATGTGAGAATTTGTATAATTGGATATATAGATAGATATAATAATTCTTTTAATGTAAAATATACAATAATAATATATTTTTATTTTTAAAAAAAAATATTTGGGGTAAAATTTTTTTTTTTTTTTATTTTCTCTAATCAATGATATTAGTATTGACGGATCAAACAAAATTGGAAAAGCCTTATAATATCCAATCATCCACATTATTGATTTCATGGGCGAGTCATTAGAGTTCTTGTGGCTTAATTCATACACTAGTTTGTAAGATATAAAAAATATATAACATATGATATCACCATAAAAGTTCTTTATGAATAATGGAAAAAAAAAACAAATTATTATTATTATTATTATTATTATTATTATTATTATTATTATTATTATTATTATATGTTTTCATAACATTTTGGATCCAAAAACATGTGAGTTTTAAGTGATGGACAGCCAGGCTAACGAACATGTAAGCTGAATTTAGCATGTGAGAGTGACCTCATATATATTTTGTCTTGTCACCCTTAACCTTAATTTCCAACCAACAATTATTACTATTTTTTCTTATTCTTTTTACTATTTTTTTTGGTTGTTAGTCTCGATTAGTGGAGTTTGTAACTCTCCGATAATCAGAATGGTATATAGTCTCTGACGTTTATTTGATAGTTAGAATGATCCGTGTAATTAATTGGTTATCGATTGTACCTTATTTGAGGTTAAAGTTCCCTCTTGTTCGTTTCTTCCTGTCACGTGACAATTAGATTGATCGTGTAAACCGTTGGTTACAGATTGTATCTTATTTGAGATGATGAGCAAGTGAAGCTCATCAGTCTACTAAACATGGCGCCCCCACCACATTGCAAGTACACTTGAGTTTGGTGAAGACAATTTATTACATCTCACCAAGTAATTTTGGCCTTTAGCCTTATGGTTAGTCCATGGCCACACATACATATATAAATGTATGTTATGATATATCCATCTCATTTTTTCCTATCAAGGCAAACACAACCAAGAAGAAGAAGAAGAAGAAGAACAAAAGGGCCATCACTATAACTGATTAGGTAATTCTTTAATTTTCAAAGCTTTTTTCTTTTACCACTCTTAACTCTATTCTCATGTAATTAAGGTAATCTGCTAATGAGTTGGTGTCTCAATTACTTTCTGTGTCATTATCAATTGCTTGGATGTGTGGATTTTTTTAATTATGACAAGATTTCTGTCGAAGAAAAAGTTTGTCTTACTCCTTGATTATGATATGGGTGTAAACGAGCCGAGCTGAGGTTGAGCCCGACTCGTTTATCAATACTAACGAGATAAAATCGAACCTTAATGAACCAAACTATTAAAAATAATACACAATTCTTCCTTTTATTAAGTCTTAAAGAGCCGAGTCGAACTGGTTAATGAACCGAGCTTTAAACAAGCTCATTTTGTTAACAACTCTACTATTGAACAAATTTTCGGAAAAATCAATGGAGTTCCTTTCATGAGACATGTAAGCGAAAAATCTTTCTCCTTTCACCAAGAAATCTTAACCAAATGTGTTAGCAGAAAAGCGCACGCCAAATTATAGAGGAACCTTTCGCCTAATTATGGAAGGCGACACGAACGAAAACCTTTTGGACACACACAGCAACAAGGAAAACACTCTCAAGAACAAAATATGGACCGAGTCGAAGAAGATGTGGTTAGTCGCGGGCCCCTCAATCCTCATTCGGTTCTCGACGTTCGGTATAAGTGTCATAAGCCAAGCCTTTGTTGGCCACATTGGCCCCACCGAGCTCGCTGCCTACGCTCTCGTTTTCACTGTCATCCTAAGATTCGCCAATAGCATACTGGTAAATAATGGTTAAAAAAATGTCAAAAAAAAAAAAATGAACAAAAAACATTACTTCTTCACATCCTCCTTTTTCTTTTTTTTTTTTTCGGATAATAATGCGGCAGCTAGGAATGAACAGCGGGCTCGGCACACTATGCGGCCAGGCGTACGGCGCCAAACAATATCACATGCTCGGTATTTACCTCCAACAATCGTGGATCGTTTTAACTGCGGCCACATTTTTACTCTCGCCGTTGTTTATTTTCACGGTGCCCATCCTCAGAGCCCTCGGGCAGGACGAACACATAGCAGAAGTGGCGGGAAATGTGGCCCTGTGGTTCATCCCAGTTATTTTCTCCTACATTGCGTCATTCAGTTGCCAGATGTACCTGCAGGCACAGAGCAAGAACTACGTAATTTCGTATCTTGCGGTTTACTCATTGTTTCAGCACGTGGTGTTGTCGTGGGTTTTGACTGTGAGGTACGAGTTTGGTGTCCCGGGGGCAATGGTGTCGACCATATTAGCATATTGGATTCCGAATTTCGGGCAGCTAGCGTACGTGATGTTCGGAGGGTGTCGGGAGACGTGGAGGGGTTTTACGAGCCTTGCGTTTAAGGATCTCGGGCCGATGATTAAGCTTTCGTTGTCGTCTGGTGCAATGATCTGGTTAGAAAAGAAGAGAAAATTGCAATTTTAGTTCTATATGTTACCAATTATAACCTTTTGGTCGCATTCGAATTGTTGTTTTGAATTTCGTACCTTCTGTTTGCAATAAGGTTATAAAAAAGATGATTTTGAATTTGCAAAATAGTTGCAATTTCGTCCCTTATGTATGCTGGCGGACCTTTTTGTAAACATAAGAGGTGAAAATCAAAACAATATTTGGAAGGTGACGAAAAAAAGTTATGCTAGTGAATACATACTCAAAATTGCATTTTTCTCTATAAATAAGAATAATAATTAAAAAAAATGCAACTTTGTGGACTTGTTTTCTTAAAACACAGCTAATTTGATGTTCTTTACTTGCAGCCTAGAGCTTTGGTACAATACGATACTCGTGCTCCTGACGGGAAACATGAAAAATGCGGAGGTCACCATCGACGCTCTTTCTATCTGGTAACGTAAAAGTATTCATATGAATCTCTTTTTCTCTACTTTCGAAACTTTTCGGAATTATGTCAGACTTTTTTTTTTTTAATCATTTACAGCCTCAACATTAGTGGCTGGGCTGTGATGATCTCCATAGGTTTCATGAATGCAGCAAGGTTTGTTAAATTGTAGTTATTTGTCGTCTTAGGATAAGAGACTCTTTGCTTGATCTCATAACATTTGCTCTGTTTTTTCTTTCTTCCTTTTTTTTTTTTTTTCTTCTGTGTCTTTGATTTTTCTTCACTCTAGTGTTCGAGTCTCGAATGAGCTTGGAAGGAAGGATCCGAAGGCCGCGAAATTTTCAATCTTGATGGTGGTTTTTACTTCGTTCGCCATCGCATTTTTCCTCTTTGTGTTCTTCTTGCTCTTTAGGGAGCGTTTGGCTTACTTCTTCACGAAAAGCAATGATGTGGCCGAGGCTGTTGCTCATTTGTCGCCTCTTCTAGCATTTTCTATACTTTTGAATGGCGTTCAACCGGTTCTCTCGGGTGAGCTTATTCCAGATTGAAACTAATCATGCATATTTTCAAATCTCCTTCTGAATGAAACGATATGAGCTCTAAACTACCCGAACGAATATCCAGTTTCCCTTATATTATTATTTGGTGGCATATAGAAAAACTTTGGCGATTTTCTTTTTTGATAGGTGTGGCAAATGGGGCCGGACGGCAGGGCATTGTAGCGTACGTTAACCTCGGTTCATATTACTTGATAGGAATTCCTTTGGGAGTTATACTCGGTTATGTCATCGAACTAGAAGTCGAGGTGAGGCATCGAGCTTTTCACATTTTGTTCCTCGCCGAATTTCGATTATGATCGTTAAACATTTCCTTATGAAAGATTTTCATCGACCGCTTAAAAAACTGTATCAATTGCTTACTCTCATTTGAGAAAAAAAAAAAAAAATGTTGTTGTAGGGAGTTTGGATTGGGATGATAATTGGAACAGTGGTCCAAACTGTGATACTGGTTTTCATGACTTACAGAACTGACTGGGATAAAGAGGTACATTAACTAACTCCATTCATAATTTTGTTACAAACTTCTAATTTAACATAAAAAATGATATTTAGCAAACATTTGATTGTTTACCTAATTTTTTTTATTTTTTTTTTCCCTTTTCAAGGTATCACTTGCTTGTAGACGAATTAATCGATGGTTCGTGGAGACTGAAACAGGCAATAAATCGTCAGAAAACTCGGAGATTGCATGAAAAAATGAAGAAAAAAAATTCTTGCAGTTGTCGCATTTCAATGTCATGGACAATGTATGTCTTGAAACAAAATGTATTTCAAGTTCTCTTTCTTATAGTATATCTTTAATGATGTCTTTTTGTTACTGGAATATGAAAAGATTTGCTATTGGAGTACTCCCGAGTGAAACTGGTGATCTGCAAAACAAGAGTCCAGAGGAATTCCCCAAGCCGAGCTCATTTTCACGTTAGCAAACTGCGAAAATGAGTCGAGCTCGAGCTAACTTAAAGCCCATTTCGTTAACGAGTCGGGCTCGACTGCTCGTAAAGGCTCGAAAAAGGAATTTTCATATAATTTTTGATAATTTAGTTTGTTAAATCTCGAAATCGACTCTAACTCGACTTGTTAATATTAATAAACGAGCCGAACTCGATGTCAATATTTTTCTCGTTTACTTAACGAGTCGGCTTGTTAAGGGCTGGAGCTCGAATACCCTGAGCTCGAGCTCGAGCTCGAATACTTTGAACTCGAGCTCGGCTTGACTCGTTTATCTTCGAGCTAGTAGACCCGGTTCACCCAAAATAGATTATATCATAGAGCAACTAACGATTTTAAATTTGTAGATTTTTCTTCAAAAAAATCTTTAGTCCAAATTAGGGCTGCAAATGAACCGAGCGGCTCACGAGCGCTCGAGTCAAGGCTCGACTCGAGCTTGAGTTTGACCGAACTCGAGTCGAGCTCGAGCGGCTCGAGCACGAACTCGAGTCGAGCTTGAGCCCATATTTTGCCTTATCGAGCGGCTCGAGATAATGTTAAATTACTAAAATACCCCTAATATATATATTAGCATAGGTCCTTGATGGTAATTTACCTTTCCACTTAAAAATTTTCAAGTCGAACTCAAGTCGAGCTCGAGCATTTTGAGTTCGAGTCAAGCTCGAGCTATTATAATTTTTTATCGAGTCGAGCTCGAGCCTAAAAAATCAAACTCGACGAGCTCGAGCTCGAGCAGCTAAAAAAAAATTAATCATGCTCGACTCGACTCGGCCCATTTGTAGCCCTAGTCCAGATTAATATTAGTAGTAAGGATCGATACAATTTTCTATGTGATGCTATGCGTGGAGCTCGAGCAACTAAAAAAAATTAATCTTGCTCGATAAGATCAATGCTCGACTCGACCCGTTTGCAGCCCTAGTCCAGGTTAGTATTAGTAGCAAGGATCGATACAATTTTCTATGTGATGTTATGCGTGAGTCTATTCTCATTTTTCTCCTCCATTAGTTCACCTCACAAGTCACGAGTTTCTTGTAAGCAGCAGAGAACCAACGATATTAGTGGGCTTTTTTTATTTCACATTGTGGGCCTCAATTTTTCTAGTCAATGTTGGACAGAAAACACTGTTCAATTCGTTATCATCCATGAAAATATTTTGTTATGCTCTGGAAACAGAGCATAAAAATATAAAAAACACGTGAATCCATCTGAATAACAAATTAATTAAAAAATATAAACGCACAATTATATTAATATTATAAAGAATATATTATTAAATATACAAAATACGTACATTTTTCGACATATCACGTCTAAAATAGTTGAATTTAGCCATAATAATACCATTATGAAAGGGATATAAATTGCTTTGGCTGTGACAATGGAATCTAAACATTTATTTCACCTGTCAGTAATCTTTTAACCTTATTCAAGGTTCCAAATCCATAATCATCAATCATCATCAATATTTGGCCCACTGCAAAATTTTAAGCGCGTGTTCGTATACAAATATATCTGTTCAAAACGAGTTTTTTTTTTTTTGTTTAACCAATGTTAATTTTAAAAAAATGTAGTATCATTATTAGTTAGTGAAATTTTATTTTTATATTATAATAATATTAAAATAAAATAATTAATGTTGATTTGTTGGCTCCAAATGAAGAATGTTGTTGTTGATATCATCATTGATTTATGGAATAATAAAATGCAACAATGACTCACTATATCCATCTCTTCAAAAGATATACTATACGAGTGTAAATGAGTTCGAGTCAAGCTCATACTCGAACTCGAGTCTTTATCTAGCCTAACGTTAACAAAACGAGTCGATAAACGAGCTCAAACTTGGTCAACCTCACGATCACGACTCGTCTTGTTACACCTACAAATCCTTGTTATTCTCTCACCAACTGATCCACGTGACATTTTTTTAGCTCATATTTCCCACCAAACTCTCATACTTTGTATACATTCTCCATTATTATAGTCTTCTTATTATTATAAAGTGACAGCGCATAGTCTAAAAATTGAAAATCTCAATAATTAAAAAGTTTGTCCCTTATTAGTTACATTTTCTTATAACACGTTAATTATGACCAAAACAATCTCTCATTATTATTATTATTATTTTTTATACTTATGCGTTTAATATCCGAGAATTGTACATTCATTTGTGTGCGCAACAAAATAATATATATATATATATTATAATATTTTATATTTTCAATATTTATCAAAATTGTATGCTTTGGTATATCCCACATGAATGTTAAATCAAATATCATCGAATATTATGATGATCAACATTATAAGAAAATGATGAAAATTCAGCAAAAATTTTGGTATTCTGACGGCAATTTCAATGTTATTAATTTTATTTGATTTTTCCAATGGATTCAAACAGAAATTTCTAAAAAAAAGAAAAAAAATATTATTCTGGTATAGTGAGTTTTTCATTTAAATTTTATGTTGAATTTTGACAGTTCCGACGTTCGAAATATAAATGAAAAAAATTGAATAGAAATTGCAATATCTCAACGGATATTCTTATGGTAAAAATAGTTGGAAAAATGGTTGTTGAAATTATCAAATTTTATCTAAATTTCAATGAAAAACTAATTTTAAATTGAAATTATACTATTGGAACATCTGTTGAAATTTAGATTGGAATTTATTACCGTATGATTTTTTTACATATAAAAAAGTTATAACAAATAAAAATTATAAATTTATAAATAGTTAATAAAGCATTTTATATTTTTGATAGTTATAGGATAAATAAAAGTGTAGATCTACTTAGATTACTCTTAATTAAGAAATTAAAAAAAAAAAAAATCGCACATAAATTTGCAAAATGTACAAAATTGAAATATATGATTTCAACCGTTGACACTTCACTCGAAAAAATACACACTTTTATACATAAAAAAGAAGCATTGGATGAAAAAAAATATTTACAGCCCAAAACCGGGTCTAAGCATTTGGTCAACGGGCCGGGTTTGGCTCGTAATAATTATTTACACGTCTCCTACTTGATATATACTTAACTGTAAACGATTTTTTTTAGTGAACCGTTAAAGTTTATTATTAAATGTTAAGGTGTAAATAAATAGTTATGTAGTCGTCCCGTGAGTAATTTCTTCTAATTAGTTGATAGTGTTTCATTTATAATTTTATTATTATTGACACTAGTGTGAGAACCAAAATATTGGTTAAATACAAAATTAGCTAATTTGCATAATGTAATTTTTTATTTTTTTATTTTTTAATAATACTCTGTTGGTATGACTCATATATTGACAAAGAAATGAGGCAGGCTGATACCTGCGAGCGTAACGGAGCAAACGTAGCGAGAGAAGCGGAGCGACCGAGCGAAGTGAGCGGATTTATATCTTGTAGGATTATAGTATAAATACATGGTGTATTGATGTATTTGAGTCTATTGAGAATAATAAAGATCCCTCAACCGCCGTGAACGCAGGCATATTGTCGAACCACGTAAATCTTGTATTGTTTACTTTTCTCGTTTTTAATTCGTATGTCATATTATCATCTTCTCTCAACATACTCGAACATAACAAAAAAGAATGTTAGAGAAAGGTGATGGAGGCTTAAAAAAATGTTTTGTTACGATGTTACATATGTTTTCTAATAATTATAAGAGACTTTGCAAAGAAAATGTTATTATTTTTTTTTTTTGGTACAGAAACCTTCCGATATCCGGATTCACAGGGGAACCGACTAATCTGGAATCGAGTCGGGTAGGACTACAAGGCGGCAAAGCTGAAGGTCTCACGTACATTGAATGAGGTGCATTTTGTTACATTATATATGATAGGTTGTCGTGGAGTGACTAGCCGCCCTATGTGGAGTTGAAATTTAAACTGATTTTAAAGTGCATGTTGAATGTAAATTGTTTAAGTATCACTGTGAAAATAAAATTAAATATGATTGATATTTATTTTTATTTATCAAAATAAGTTATATGTACTAGGATTTACGACATACATATATTATCTAAAGAATTTGTCAAGTCAAACAACAATGAAAATAAATCCAAATTAGAATATAATTCTATAAAATGGCGAACGAAGGGGAACAAGGTGTTGTTTCACATATTTTGTAATTTTACGTAGTAAATATTATGTTTGTGCAATATGACCGAGATAAAAATTACTAATTATTACCAACTGACTTATAAAAATACATATATTTAATATTTTCAAACCATTTCTTATAAATGTTTTATTCTCTTCTTAATAAATATATACACATTTTCTGTCTTGAACATTTAGTTATTTTTCTTTTGATCAATTCATTTCTACTTAAGGACCACATAAATTATAAGAAGTAATTTTAGAATAAAGTTATGGGATATATCAATTATCATGGGAAATTACAACCTTTATTTTTTTTTGGGGATAATACAACCTTTATTTTTTAGGGAAATGTTACTCCATTACGGAACCATTCCGTCAGAATTTATAACCGTTTGATCATCATGTAACCGTCGAGGATAGTTGATCTAACGGTTACAAACTCCGACGGAATAGTTCCATAACGGGACCGTAACACCTCTCTATTTTTTTAAATCATCAAATCCACGTATCTCAGTATATGCACGTGCTGACATAGAAAGTGGTTAGGTGGTGTGAACTAGACTATATATTTTTCCACCTGTCCACTTTTTTTTTTTTTTAAATAATTTCTCAATCCCAAGAAAACAATTCTTTATTTTTTTGCATCAATCTTATTCTTATGTAGGCACAATGAAATAAAAATGATACTTTTGAATAGTCTCTTCTCTAGAACCCATCTCCTCTCTCTCTCTCTCTCTCTAAAAACTCTTGTGTGTGAGAGAGAAAGCTTGTTTGTGTGTGAACTTGTGAAGGGCAATTGGACTGCAAGTTGAAGTTCCTTGTGAAGTCTGTATTTTGTTCTCTCTGTTTGTTATCTGGTGACAAACAGTGAAAGAGACCAAAGGAAGAATTTTGTGTGCCTCTCTGTAAGTTTTTTTTTTTAAAACTATTTTTCATTATTTTCACTGTGTGTGTGTGTGTGTGTGTCTCTCTGTGTGTGTGTGTTTTGTTTCATTTTATTTATTTTGTTGTTTGTTCTTTGCTACCTGCTTTCTTACAATCTTTTTTCTGTTCTTGTGAAAAAAATAGACCAAA